ACCCCGCTGGACTCCATTATGCCCATAGTGCGAAGAATATGATGACACTCCTCTAGAAATCCCAAGGCATCGTCTGATGCTAATCCACTGAACACTGGGGGATCATACTTCTTGAACCTCTCAAGCCTGCGCTTCCCAAGCCACAGAAGCGGAAATACTAGATGACAGAACCTTCAGCAATTCATTCAACTTCAAAATTTTCCGTCAACCACCCGAAATCATCCCGAGGCCCCCGGGACCTCAACCAAAAGCACCAATACCGCCTAATACCTTATTCAAACTTGTACCAATCCTTAAAACACCTAAAACAACACCGGAAACCCGATTAAATCAAAGATTCAACCCTAAGAACTACAAGTTTCTTCCAAATACGCTTTCGATCAAAAACCTAACCAAAACACGTCCGAATGACCTGAAATTTTGCACACACATCCCAAATGACATGACGGAGCTACTGCAACTTCCGGAATTCCAATTCGACCCTCGGATCAAAAACTCACTATCGAACCGGAAACTTTAAAAATTCAAACTTCGGCATTTCGAGCCTAAATGAGCTACGAGCTCCCAAAATACATTCCGAACATGCTCCCAACCCCGAAATCACCTAACGGAGCTAACGGAACCATCAAAATTCCATTCCGAGGTCGTCTTCATACTGTTCCGACTACGGAGCACTTTTCAACACTTAAGATCTGTTTTAGGGACTAAGTGTCCCAAAACTTTCCAAAACTCAACACCGAACGTCCCGGCAAACCAAAATAGCAGAAATGAACTTAGGGGAAGCAATTAATGGGGGATCGGGGCGTAAATTCCAAAAACGACCGGCCGGGTCGTTACACCGTAGGGGGTTTGACCCAGTTAATTTTTATAAGGGATTGGGAGGATTAATAAAGGATTTTTCCGTGAATAGTTTAAATTCCACTACCTTTTGCATGATTTGGGAACCCCTTAATTTGTTAGTCGTGTTGTTGATGTTATTACTGTTTCTATTAATCCAGATATGCCAGATGATGAAGGGACGGAAGTTTTTCCAGTTTATAAAGTTATATTTTATAGGAATGTTAAAGTCCCTTATTTGGAGAAGCCAGTGCTTCCCACTTCTGTTGATTGGATGGGTTCCTTGCAGTTCCCTCCAGAGAGTACTGACAGCTCTACAATCCAGGAAGATATGTTCAATCGACTCTTCAATAGGGTTTTTGCAGATGGGACAATTCGAATCAATGTTTAGTCCAATCTGTGAAAGGTACTTCCTGCAAGGGATTCGACTGTGAAGACATTGCCATAGGAAAAATCTGATTTTATTGGGGCACTCCAAATGCCAGATCCATTCGAAGTCAGGGTTAGAGTTCTTCAGAGATTCTAGCAGAGTATAACAAGAGGCGGTGGTAAAGACTCCCTTAGTGGTGAGGGACCAAGTAGGTAAGTCAATGGGAAGGCCTTTTTGGCGGATTTTTGTTTTGGAGATGGTGGTTAACAAATACGGAGAGGGAGAGAAGGTTAAACAGTTTAGCTTCCAATTAGTACCATCAAAGATATCTCTAATTTTGGTGGAGAAATCTTTGGCTGAAGGGGGGCCTGTAACTAGGTTCCTTAGGTTACCAATATTTGGAATCCAATTGGCCTCCCATAGGTTAAGATTGGAATGGATGTGGGGGGACCATGTAATGCCTTTGGAACAGATGTCCCACCCTCTGCAAATGCTTTTCCAGAGGAAGGAGGTTCTATTCGCAGAGGAGATATTGCAATAGTATGAGATGATAAGCTTTGCCCAAGGAATAAGAGCATTATTTGTAAGGAGTCTCCAGCTTAAGCTAGCCAGAGTGCAAAGGTTTTTATTGAGAGCATTATGGATCCCCAGTCCACCATATTTTTTGGGTTGGCATATAGTGGACCAGTTTACCAAGTGAAGTTTCCTTTTTTCTACTGTACTACCCCAAATGAAATCCCTTTGGACTTTATCAATCTCTTTAAGGGTTTTGCTAGGGAGTAGGGTGTATTGCATGTAGTGGTTTGGGATGGAGTTGAGGCATGATGACGCAAGGGTTGTTCTTCCTGCCAAACTAAAGAACCTCATTTTCCAGGATGCAAGTTTTGTTCTCATTTTGTCTATGAGGAATTGGTAATCCCTAGGTTTTGGGCTGTGGTGAAGGATAGGGAAACCAAGATATGTGCCAAAGTTGTTACTCTTTTTAATACCTAGAGAATTGGTAATGTTGGTGATGATTGAGTGGTTACAGTTTTTAGAAAACAGGATCTTCGATTTAGTAAAGTTGATGCTTTGACCAGATAGAGAGCAAAATAGGTCAAGCCCATTTTTTATGGCCTGACAAGATTTAGTATTAGCTCTTGCCATCAGAGAAAGGTCATCAGCAAAGAATAATTGGGAGATCTTTGTACATTTATATCCTAGGGAAATGGGGTCCCAATTTTTGATGTCCACTTGGTATTCTATATCTCTGGTGAGTATTTCTAGGCAGAGGATAAAGATAGGGGAGATGGGGTCGCCTTGTCTAATACCTCTACTTGGTTAAAAATAGTTTGTAACAGCTCCATTTACTAAGATTGCTATTTTACTGGTAGAAATGCAATTTACCAGGAGGTTAGAGAATTTAGGAGGGAAATTAAAGAAATCTAGGGTGTGACGAATGAAATACCATTCAAGACGATCAAAAGCCTTTTCCAAGTCAATTTTCAGAATCATATTGCCTTGCTTACCTTTCAGTTTATTGAATTTAGAAATCATTTCCTGGATGATGATAGCATTGTCAGAGGCTCTTCTATTTTTCATAAAACTAGCCTGATAAGGACTGATTAGTTGATCCAGGAAAGGTGTGATACTATTGGCTAGAATCTTGGTAATTATTTTATAGATAGTGTTGCACAAGCCAATAGGTCTGAAGTTTTTGATATTATTAGCATTATGGAATTTAGGAACGAGGCATAGAAAAGTCTTGTTAATATCCGGAGGGATTTTTTTTTTGGTTGTTGAAGATGTTATGGCAGAGCTTCTTGACAGAATCCCCTATATGGAACAAATATTTTTGGAAGAAGAAGGGGTGCAGACCATCTGGTCTGGGAGACTTGAATGGTTTGAAAGAGAAGACTGCACTTTTTATCTCATTATCCAGGAGGGGGGTATCTAGGTGTTCTAGGTTGATAATCTTGCAACTGGATTGAGTATTTAGGGGGTTAGCCCAGGAAGAGTGAGTATGAGAAGAGGTAAAAGCAGAGGTAAAATAGTTTTGGACATGGGCCAGAATAAGACTATGAACATTTATCCAGTTACCAGCATCATCTTTGAAGAAAGTAATTTTGTTTCTTCTTTTTCTATTGGTGGCAGAGATGTGGAAGAATTTAGTATTGGTGTCGCCATCATTAAGCCACATTATCCTGGAACTAAGTTTCCAGTAGTCTTCTTCTATCTTTAGGATATCATTGAACTCATGTTGAAGATCTAATTCTAAATTTTTTAGGAAAGAGCTGGTAGCATAGCTGTTAGAAGCTTGGATGCCTTGTAGTCTAGCTAAGAGTTTTCTCTTCCTTCCCATGATATTGCCAATAGTGTTGTCCTTCCAAGGTTTAACATTATCTATAAAATTAGATCTAGCCTTAAAGTAGTCACTGTTATTCCAGGAGTTTGTAACAACAGATTGGAACTCCGGATGTTTACACCAAAAGGTTTCCAACCTAAAGGGGACCTTATGAGGAGTTCTATTTCTAGGAATTAATTCAACTAGGATAGGATTGTGATCAGAGTGGGTTCTGGGAAGATTGATAATAGAGCTTTTAGGAAAAAGTTCTAACCATTCTTCATTTCCAAAAACTTTATCAAGTCTTTCTAAAATAAGGCTCTTATTACTATGTCTATTATTGGTCCAAGTGTATTTGCTTCCCTTGAAACCTAGGTCAACTAGGTTGCAATTATTAATTCTAGACCAAATATGTTTAGTTCTACTATCCTTGATGGGTTTACCTCCAAATTTCTCACTAGCAGTTAAAATATCATTAAAATCACCACCTACTAGCTAAGGTCCTTTATAAGTATTACTAATATTTTCTAGGTTATCCCACATGTATTTCTAGAATGAATATTGGTACTAGCATAAATTGAAGTAAAGAGCCAAGGTTTACGTAAAGGATGTACCTCTATAGTTGCATGGATCTCCTGACCTCTTCTAACAGCATCTTGGACGTTGATTATATCATCCCTCCACATCATAACCATACCACCTGACTGCCTCTCCGAAGGAACTTCTATCATCTCAGTGAAACCAAATTCGCTGAGCATGGCAGCATGGTTGATCATCCTTGTTTCTAGCAAAGTAACCAAGCTCGGCCTATGAGTGTCTATCATCTCCCTAAAGTTTCTCCTAAAGTTGTCATTGTTTCCTCCCCGAATATTCCATAGTATGAAATTAGTAGACTGATTTGTGGCTAAGTCAGTGTTGTTCATTTTCCCATTCTCCCTTATTCCCCCCGCTTGGACAGGGTTCCTCCTCATTGATGGAACTAGGATCATAGCTTTGTTTGCCACAATAGGGTCGTGTAGAGGGCGGATATCCATCGAGCACTTGTATAGGGCTAACGGGCAACTGAGAACATGCCTCTTCTCATGCCTCTCCGTGAATAGAAAGATTTTTATTCCATCTAGGTTTGAGAGTTCTAGGGTTGTCACTAAGTGAAGATTGAGGGGGACATCGTCCTCCTCCATCTCTACCTCCACTGGCCCTGGTATGTGGTCTTCTTGTTGTTGTGGTGGGGGTACTGGTGGTGGTTTGGGGGGTTACCATCCCTTGGTTCCCTAGATTGACATCCCAAGGGAGAAATATGGGGTTTAGGTGGGTGTACATCTCCGTTGGAAAGAAAGGGAGGTCCAGTGGAGCATTTAGAGGGTGCATGGGGTTGAATTGAGGAGGCATATTCCATTGCTCTCTCATTGTTATGGCCATTTGAGGATTCAACGATGGTGCCATGGGATGAATGACATTGTTGAGCCATACTTAGTTTAGATAGATGTTCATTGCCAATCTCACCCCCTCCGTGATAAGTTGAGCTTGGTATTCATTGTTGTGCAAGATCACCATGGCTTCTTGGCCGTTGATCGGCACTGTGAATGAGAGTGCATGGCCCATGAGCCCTAACTCCATCCAACTCGAGGGTTGGTAATCTTGTGCTTGGGGGGGTTGAGCGTAAATTATTTGGGGTTGTTCTTGGGGATAGAGGGGGGGAATGTTTTCCATTTGGAGAGGGCGACGTTGTCTCAAGATTTGAACTAGTCGAGTTCTTCTCCTTAGGGTTGATGGAACTCTTGGCATTTTGGTTAAGACAAGTTGAATTAAATGCACTGGTAATTGGCATGGGATGTTGGATAGGAGGAGAGGTTAGCCGATTGGGTGGGGAGGTGATGATTGCTTCATTTTTGTCTATGGCTTTTGGTTGTCCTAGGTCACTTTTAAAAGAACACTTAAAGGCTTGGATTGGATTACCCATGGGAATGTCCATTTGGCAACTTTCTTCTATGGTCCTTGCCATTTGGCCAACATGCATGGATGGGGAGATTTTGGAAGATTCTTTAGATAAAGGAAGATTTTGGATAGATTTCGTATTAAGGAGGGGGTTTGGGGCAGTAGGGGTATGATTAGTGATAGGGGTAGATTCGTCCATACAAGAGCCATTTTGCATGGCATTGGATTTCACTAAGGAGTTGGCAATGTGGGGTGCCACGTTGGAGTCTTGCATGCAAGTATCTTGTGTGTCAAGATCCAAGTCATTATTTAATTGATTAAATAAAATTATCATTATCCATAGTGGTTTGTGTCAAAACCTTTTGCCTCTCTTCTAAAAGGTGGTTTTCCATATGAGAGGTAGATTGATCAAAAGTCGATTCTGGATGCGTAATGATAGGAGGATTTTAATTGTTAGAAGGATTATTTTTTGTTTCATAATGGAGTGTTTGGGTAAACAAGAACTTACCTGTCTTTGCATCGAATAGTTTAACCGGAATACCTGGACTTTGGTTGCCATTTGCATGGATGGTAGGCATTTGATTAGGAGTTTTTTTGCCTTGATTCTTCTTTTTATTGAAGGAGACAGTTTTCCATTCAGAATCACAAGCTTCTTGTGGAGCTACTTGTTGATGTTCTTGTCCTGCATGGTGAGGATCCAAGTTTTGCATCTTGATATAGTTGCATTGTCTTAGTGTGTGACCAAAACGGTCGCAATTTTTGCAAAGAAAATCCTCCCCTTCATAGAGTATATCTTGCTTGTGGTCTCCAACAAATAGGAAAGGCTGAATTGGAATTTCCAGGGGAATTTCGACACAAATTCTTGCATAACGACCTCTTAGGGTAGTTGAGGTGCATGTGTCAATTTTTAGAAGGCGTCCTATTGCATTACTAAGTTTTGCTAGGATTCTCCCATCATAGAATTCAGTTGGTAATTGGGGCAGCCTTACCCAAACTGCCGAGGAAGTTAGTTTTTCATTTCTAGCCACAAAGTTTGGTTTCCATTTGGAGATAGATAGGAAATGACCATTTATGAACCATGGTCCTAGGTGAATAGCTTTATCCATATTTTCTTTCTTTGTGAACTTGATTATGTAATAGTCCTCACCAAGATCAATTAAAGAGAACTCCTCCGTTGGTTTCCATAGATCTTGGATCTTCTTCTTTAGGTAATGGTGTAGCATACGTTTCCCTACTAACTTGATTATAATAGAGAATTTCCATGGCTCATAGATACGTTGTCTATCTTCCAGTGAAAGAGAGATTTGTATAGCTTCACCTAGATTAGTTCCTTGATCACTCACTATTTTTGTGTATTCCACTTTCTTTGTTGGTTCAAGCATCTCATCATAATCTATGGAAGGAGTGAAAATTGTTAGGTTAGATTTCAATAGTTGATCCTTAAAGGATATTGGTCTTTCCAGATTGTTTGGTAAGGGAGGGTGTTGGATTAAATCTGGTGGTTTTGGAGGGATGGTCTCTTGCCTCTCAAAAGGTTGGGAATGCATACTAGAGAGAAGGTGGAGTTTCTCACTCTACAGAGTGAGATTTTTTTTTGGTCAATATGTGTTATTTCAATTTATTTTAATATTATATTTTATTTTAGAATTTTCTCAAATATATGCCCGAGGAACACAATTTCTTCCTCTATTGATCTATCTAAATACAATCAACATTAATCATTTTCAATAACTCAAACTTTATTATTTTATTTTATAAATAAAATATATTATTTAATGATATTCTTTTAATTGTATACTCATTGATATATATATATATATATATATATATATATATATATATATATATATATATATATAAAAACATATTTCATCAAGCAACATTTTAAAATGCTGCAAGATCGGAACTACACAACAGTTCGTGTTGGAAGAAGTAAATCCTGGAATGATTTCTCAGAAATTTACGAATTTCTGTTAAGATATGATATATCCACTATCCACAAACAAATAGTAAAAGAAGCAAAACAAAACATGAGATGCACATATTACAATCAAGAAAATTACATATTGAAACCGCGAGAAAAGGCAATAAGCAATTCCCTTAGTTATATGTATGAAAGTGTGCACCAAAGCCCAGGCCAAACATCCAGCATAGAGGAATTTAGAATTTTGACATGTATAGAAGTCAAAGAAAATAAGTTCTCACATATAGCTCTCCCAATCAAACACTTTGTGATTTACCAATCTTAGGAAGTTCTTCTCTCATCTGCAATAAGATGCCAGGATTTCGTTTACTCTCTTCAACTCCAATTAATTGTAATTTCCCAGAGAGGGAAAGATTTTCTCTTGCCACCCTTTTGGTTTATCAGATTTTTAGCTTATCATAACTATACTAGACCTCTATCATAACAAACCCAACTAAATATCCTCTTATCTTCACTTAGTAACCACTGTTTTAGCTCTTCATCCCTGGCTCATATTCCATTTACTTCTACGATGACTACCCTACATAATCTTCATTCTTCACATCTTCTTTCCATTTCTTTTTCCTTGATTTAATAGCTTCTTTTCTTTTTTCTTTTTTTTTTAAATCTCGCCCCCATATGCCCCCTCCCCTCTCTGCAAAGGCAATAGTGGTTCTTCCACTTCCCATCCCCCTCCCACCTTTGGTGACTCGAGCTTCAACTAATGGTTAGAGGTGGAGGGACTTTTCCCCCACTTTTTTTCTTTTTTATTATGCTTAATGACACCAGCATCACTTCTCTGTCAATGAACTACACCATGCTATATTTTCATTTCACAAGGTAATTTATTCGGATACAATGTACCAACCTTGATAAAGAACTTGACAATCCCAAGAGGGTTGGAGTAGTTAAACTAGAGGAGTTGACCACCTTCATCTCCTCTTTCAACACGCCTTCCCGTAACCACTGCTCCATAAAAGAAGTTCAAAATCCTTTTGTTTATATATAAATTCATGAGTTTAGGTTATAAACACTTATCAGTGTAAGGAATTTTTTTACACTATCAGGTCATCCAAAGGATTATCTAATATAATTCACCTTAAAATGTGGGATTTTTCTTGAAAACAAGACAGATTGTGTGCTACAACAGGTAAACATGACCTGATGGTGTAGAAATTCCTTACACTGATGAAGAATATAACTTAAGCTCTAAATGCATACACTCAAATATTAGATTAAGCAAACAACAAAGTAGACACTTACTGTTAGCCAAGTGGAGATAGAACAACAAAATGCCCTCAAAGTGGGTGGTGGTGAAGGCACAGATTTCTCAACCTTATGAATTCTAATCTCAACCATTTTCAAGCAAGTTGCTGCATAAGTGAATTGATAAAGTACATGATAAAGACTGGTATGTGAAAGATGGCTAACGTATATTCCACTCCGCACACAAAAACGCTGCCCTAATTCATCCCAATACAACAGCGTACTCGTAAAACCTTGTAATATTTGCAGCACATTTCGCACCTAAAGAGAAAAGGAAAATCACAAATAGTGAAAAAAAGGTACTAAATTAAAAATGAAAACTTTTTGCGAATTCAATAAATCAACTAATTGAGGGCAGCACTTACTAAATCAACTTCGTTAGTTCTGAAGGAGGAAATTGGCTTAGCAAAATGTATACCGTCGGAATAAGAAGTGTATAATTTGCCGATTAAACTCTGAGGAGCTTCCATAATTAGTTTTGAATGTTTTTATGGATCTATTTTCAGTTTGGAGTTACGAATTGGTTCCATGTTCGGAATTCGATGGAAATTCTGCCGCTTTAAACAGATTGAAAAGAAGGAGAGTAGAAGGGGGAAAGTGTGCTCTCAATTTTCCAAATTTTAGTTTTTCTTTTACTTATGTGTTCCATTTGGAGAAATTTTTATATGCTTAAATAGGAAAAATTTTATTTTGTGCCGCTGACACTAGTTAAATAGTAGTCTGACGTGGCAATTCAAACCACTGATATTACTATTCAAATTGTTACTATTTCTTTATCATTTAATAGTTATGTTAGGGAAAAGAGTAGGTTAACTGATTTTGTCATTGGTTTTGTCATATGTTTGAATCCTACTTGTAATGATTTTTAGTTATTGCTTTTCTTCATTTTTTTTTTCTTCTTTTTTAGGAAGAATACTTTGAATGCCTATTGAATATATATTTATGTCGTTTTTTGTTTAAAGATCTACAAATCGTGAGAAAGTATCACTTTTGTAACACTTTATTATGTTTTATAGTCTGTTTGGCCAAGCTTCTTTTTGGCCAAAAGTGCTTTTTTGGGCCAAAAGCACTTTTGGCCAAAAATTAGTCATTTCTAGAAATGTCAATGCAGCTATTTTTATATGCGAATTAAGCATGAGTTTTTTGTTTTATAAAATAATACGATTACATATTTAGAAACTAAAAAAAAAGTAACATAAACACTAATTTTGAAGTTGTGACTATTTAAGAAAAGTTTTCCAAAATGTAGTGAAATAAACAACTTTTGACTACACAAATGTCAAATAGTAGTAATGCACTACATCGCTTTTATACAAGAACTTTTTAGTTATAATAATCTCCTTTCAATTTTCAAAGTTGAACGATAAGAGGGCCATATACTTTGTAGTATATTTTAATAACTTACTCCTCAAAATACTACTAATAAAAGAATACAGTAAGAACATTGCCATTGAAACTTATTGTCACCTAAAGAATTGTATCACACGGGCAATTAAAGATGGAAGAAGTTCTCTAATAGTCAAAAAAATATGTGTAAGAATTACTCTTAATTTATTCAGAATTTTTTACACAAGTTCATAATAAAACTAATGAATTTTACCCTGTTCAGGATATCAGCTGAGGAGATGGATTAGATGTCCTTCAGGTTGGCATTAAGCACAACAAAAACATTTACATCCACAAAAACCTTTCACTTTTGTGTACCTAAGTCATAATTTCAATCTAAGTTACACTATTAACTTCAGAATCATCTTTATGAATCTGTTCCAAAACTATGAAAGCCTTTGATAGTAGCTTTATAAACAACATCAATGATACACGAAGACGCGGATGCATATGGAATTGTGTTGCCTATCTCTCCCACATATGGCAACATTCTGACTAATCATCCGACTGAAGTTTTGTATCTAAGTTTCCTGATCTGTACACGAAAATCCCCTCACTTTGTATATTTATTTATGATCTTATACAGATATTTGGGGTTTCCTTTCTTATGATCCTATAAGGACTTCTGTTTTCAGGTCCCAGGGGTAAGCTACTAGGAATGCTTGGGGGACTGGCTGCACGCGAACTTGAGTTCAGCTCCAGTGAAGAAATACAGGGAAGGACTTCAAGTGTAGAATGGGGAGAGTGGTGAGAAGCTGCTCCGTACTCACAGGTTTCAGGATGAGTTTGCTGGCAATTTTCACTGAAAGAGCACAGTTAAACTTGCATAAGCTAAGTCAACAGGGTAACACAAAATATAGAATCTAGCTGGAACTATTGGTATTAATACCAAAAGAGGGGAGTAATCAACTATTTCACAGAACAAAGCGCCCGAGTATATCCCAAACATGACAAACAGAGAGAGAGGAAGTACAAAAAAGTTATTACCTGCTATATGGTGATTTTCCATGCCTAGCGGAAGTTCCTGGTAAAAGTGGCTTTAGTTCCTTTTTATGGTTAGTTGGGTCCTTAGGACTCTGCAGAGCATCCTAAAAGTGTAACAAATTCAGAGATTCAAACCATTTGAATTCAATATTCAAGTAATAGGAGGAACAATAAAAGTAGAGAAACTGATAAGCAGTGGACTAACGTCACGTAGTCAGTAGCATGTAACACTCACATGTAATTTCATCCCTGAAAAATCCTCTGAACAACCAGCAACAGTATTACGTAAAAAAGCATGCTCGAGTAGCATCATAGCTGATGGCCTATCTGCAGGCTTCCTCTGAAAGCAGCACCGGAGGAAATCCTTCCCTTCTGCCGATAATTTTTCTGGTATAGGTGGTGATTTGTGCAAAACACTGAACATAGCTTGCACCTAATAAGACAAAGCAAGAACATTTAGACACTTAAAGAAATCAATTCTAGAACGCCTGAAAACCGAAAAGTAAGAACAGAGTTCTGGCATAATTGAGATTAAGCCACTGGATCATGACTAAGTAATCAGCTAGCCTTGCTTGTATTTTCCCAAGCTATGATGCTATACTGACAACCTAAAAGCTCACCAATATGTTTACACTTGTAACATGATTATATTGTTCTCAAATGAGATAAATTTAAACACCTACCCCAGTAAATTCACCCCACGGGGGCTGTCCATTAAACATCTCAATAACAGTGCAACCCAGGCTCCATATATCGACAGCAAAGGCAAGCTCTGGATTGGCATCTTTCCGCAACACAGCCTGCATTACCTGCATATGAAGTGATGGCCAGACATAAGCACAAGCCAACAAGAGGGGGGGGGGGGGGGGGGGGTCAGGCAGTAGCCGTAAAGTAGCTTTACGATGCCTACCTCTGGAGCCATCCAATGAGGGCTCCCTTTCAGAGAAAGATCAGTTGCACAGCTGGAAAGCTGGGAAAAAGAGAAACAATATGAAATTATAGCAGTAGGGGAGGCATGGAAAAATAATTGATGAAAGATTCTGCTTATCGTTTTGTCTACAGGTTAGGGTTTACAAGAAAACACTAAATTAGAACAAACAAAGAAACTCTAGCAATTTCAGTTTGCCATTAGAATTCTGAAAGCTTACATGTTTTGCTAATCCAAAGTCTGCAAGCTTGACAATGCCAGATGCATCTACAAGCAAATTTGCTCCCTTAATGTCCCTACTCAGAAGAATCATTGAAACCAACCATTAGACTGAGCATCACTGCCAAGGTAAAGTTAAAAAGAAAACAAAGTTTTTTTTTTGTAAAGAGAAAAGGTTCTTGCTTGCTTATGACATGGAATTGCAATCCAGAGGCTTTAGTGTTCCGTTAATGAATCTTTAAATGAAGTGTCATTTTCCACCTTGATGCAACCCAGTATCTACCTGTGTATTGTCTTGGTGCTATGCAAGTAAGCCAACCCTGATACAATATGCCTAGTAAAGTTTCGAACTATTGATTCTGTCATAGCTCCGCAATGTTCCCGAACATACTTATTAATTGATCCGGGGTGCACATATTCCAAATATATGTAAAAGCGGTCCTCCATCTGAAATGCCAAAAGCATTTTATCTTTCAATATTCTGAAGAAATGCCTGAACATGGCAAAAGAACAAGAAAGATAGGTGTCTTACTATTTCACTGCCATAATATTGAACAATATTTGGGTGCTTTAACTGCCGGAGAACTCTAATTTCCTACAGCAGAAGTAAGCAAGAAACTGAGTTGATTTAGAATAGCATTAACTGGCGAAAAACACGCCATAGTAACTGCAATCCAGTGCAAAGCTTCATCCTTTCAGAAATCTAGAATGTGATAAACTGTGTATAGTAGAATGGGAAATACTGCAATACGAAACCTTAATTTTTATCCCCAAGCCAGTTACCAACATTCTGAGAAAAAAACTCTAGCTGATGAAAATGTGAAGGAGGTTTACGAAGTCAAAGAATATGGTCAACAAAAGTAGCTCTATGGATACATTATTGATTTTGCATCTTCAGGCACATGATAGTTATCTCAAAGGACCTTGATTTGACTAATTTGCTAATGCAAGTTAGAGAACCAGGAGGTAGTATATAACATGCTTATTACTTATTTAAAGTTCTCTTCACTTCATTTACAAAAGATTTGGCCTCTAAAATATGTTTTCTCTCGCCATGTAACTCAAAAAATTGTAATTTACACACAATTTTTATTATGTAGACTAAGAAGATATGAGGAAGTCACCTGTTCTAACTGCTTTATACATTCAGCAGATTTAGGATCATCAGGAGTAAGATCAACTTCTTTTATTGCACATAAAGCACCGGTTTCACTGTCAAAAGGGAGAAAAGAAACAGAAGCGAATGTTACATTCCTACCAAGTTACTTACTAAGCAAACTTTATTGCTTACCGGTTGGTAGCTTCATATACACTTCCATATGTACCACGACCTAAAAGCTTCCCCTTTAGCCATTGACCCTTTGTTGGTGATATACATGGCTTATCCATATTGCTTTGGATGGTACATAATTCTGGTTGTCTTTGAACTCCTGGTGGAAGGGGTAGCGGGTGGACATCGATGTTATTACCTTCAGTCCAAGCCAGAGAACTTTCCGGAAGAGATTTATGATGAGAATGCACAGCACTACTTCTGTGATTCCTGGTTCTATTAACTGGATTTGGTAATGTTGGGCTGCTTAGTGGAGAATGATCAGCACTGTTTATAACCCTTGTGGGTGAAAGTTGGAAAGAGTAAGCCTCTGAAGGTGATGACGGCTGATGAAATGGAGGTTGGAAAAGGTCCTGTGTGCTAAACCTTTTCGGGCTTGGGACAGGGCTCGTAAAACCACTACCTGGAGCACTTCTAGCAGGAACATTCAGCCTGAATTCAACACCCTCAGCATTCAGATCCTGAGGGAACCTCCTACGCCGATAAGTTGGAGTAGATGATCTTGGATGCTGAGAACTTGTCACCTCCGCTGGAGTCCGATCAGAAGTATCCCTGCAACTTGCAACAGGTTAACAGTTCTGTATTCGTTTTTTCTTCTTACAAACTCATCATAGCTAATCAAACATTATGATCGAAAAACGAAGTAGCACACTTAAAGTCGTCATTTGATACTAAGACCAAGCAAGACAAAATTAGAATTGTTACATGTCCTTAATGTTAGATATTAAGGAATTTAAATCAACTAGTACGAGTGCTCTTGCTGGTTCGACTGAATCCATTACTTTTACCTCCAATTATGTACATATGTCA